ACCTGAGGAGACCCCTTGTGCATTTTTGGGTGGTGATTTTAAAAGGAATTGTGATTTAAGTTATTAATAGAATATTTGTGGTGTATAATTATCCTATTTTACAGAGGAGGCATTAACAAAATAACACTGAATGTTTCAATCAGTTTTGCCTGCACAGTTTGAATGAGTGTATCTGACATTTCAGCATCACTCTGTTGGGTGACTGGGAATGTGGTATTTCTGTGTGCCTTTCCTTGGCAGCTGTAATTCCCCCTGGGAACATCAGCCACATTTAACTATTAAATTACTCCCAATTTAATGAAAAGTTCTCCAGGAAAGGATGTGGCTTCACCGAGAGAAAGGCTGCAACACAAACTAATGCTTTCTGTGGTGTTAAGCGATTTGTGGAGGATTTCAGCTTTAGGAGCAGTTCAAGGAAAAGCAGGAGATTCCTTTTGCTGCCCATGGGGCTCCGTGTTCAGAGGAATTATATTCAGGTATCATTTCATAATGTCAGAGCTTTCGGCGAGTTCGTTTACGGTGAGAATTCTGTCGAACGTGGTCTGTGTGGAGTCATAAAGCAAAGCAAGACATAAGAACATGTAATTAATGGGCACTTGGGGAAAATTGGACCTACCTGGTGTGACCAGAACCTCGGAGCTTTGTTGTTCCCGGCACTTTTATGCTTTACCCATCAGATCTGAGCTCATTCCTGCTCAGCTTTGGTTCATACGCACTCTAAAACCCTCTCATTATTTCTTGGAGATGGGATTGTTTTCAAGCTACTCCAGAGTTGTAATTTGAGCCATATACTAGCATCGAAACAATTAAGGTTTAGCAGAGCCCTCAGCAGCTGACAGATCCCTTCTCATGATCCCTCTCCTGCAACCCGAGGCAGAGGCCGCTTAATTCCGAGGTGATGAAGTGTTGCACAACCCCAGGAGTTCCCTGGGCCGTTAAGGACACCAAGGGCAAACATATTTTAGATGGAACAGGTCGGGACAAGGGTTTTGTGCTTAAAGTTGAATCCCCAAAGTGGTTGGTGCGGGCTCGGGGACGGCGCTGTGGAGCCGCCGGCTTAGCGTGGCCTTTGTTGGGGGTGATGGCAGGTGAGGGCAGGAGATGCCAGCGGGCCTGTCAGCCCCATGAATCACAGGGGGAGAGCACAGGAAGGGAAAAGCAAACCCGAAACCCAGAGAAATCTGTTACAAGAACCGACAGGATGGGATGTTTGGTCCCTCACAGTGCTTTTGCCATGTTAACAGTAGCAGGTTGTTGAGTATTCCCCCACAGACAAGCCTTCAGTGTCCGTGGGCTGCAGAGGAACAGGCCTCAAATACACACAGTTAATTGGAGATGTGTTGTGTTAATCAGCTGCCCTCTGTATTACCTGTCCTGTCTTCTGATCAGAAAATACTGTCCATTAAAGTGCCTGAAAATAGAGCAAAAATAAAAAGCTTTGGTGTTGGTTTGGAGTGTTGGAAGTACTGGCAGTTTATAAAGTCTGGGCCTGGCTGTGGCTCCACAGGATTCTCTGCTTGGTGAGATTTGGCTGGAGCTGAGCTGTTCCACCCTCAGTTTGCCCTCAGGGTTGTGCCCCCAGAATTCTGATCTTTTCCTATTAAATTGTGACATCTGGCTGTTGATCTGCAAAGATTGCTACACTGTTGGGTTTGGGCCATCTTGGATGATCTTGAAGGATCTTTGTGGCTATTTTGGCAGTACAAATGACTTCATTTCGTTCATTGCATTTATTTCAGTGGTGAATTCTCCTTTACAGTAAAGAAGGGCAAGACAACTCTTTAAATTTGCTTAATTTTGTGGTTTTGGGGGAAACATCTGCCAGATTGCAGCTTAATCATAGAAATCATGCAGCTGATCATAGAAATGTTAACCTTTGGTAGAGGTGTGATAAATGCAGCTGGGTTCTGCTCTGAAGTTAATCTGTGTTCTCAGACATTGACAGAAATCTCTCCAGTTTTGTGTGTGTTTGTAGAATGACCAAAGGCAGCCAGGGCAGGTTTGTAAATTGGGTATAAAAGCAATTGGGTATAACACCAATATGTGCACAAACCTCTCTGTTATGTGCCCATGAGATGATGAAAATGCTGAAGTAAAGGATAAAGTGGAACTTTTTTCCCTGACCTGACAGAGTTGATCAGAAAATTTGAGGGAGATGCAACAGTGATGTTTGTGTCTCTTGGTATTTAGCACAAATATTTTAGTGCTGTATTGAATAATTCCCTGCCTTGTATTTAAAGGATTAGATTTTAGTAACTTGTGTCTAAGGTTGGTACAGGTTTTTCTTATTTAGAAATAAGTGTTCCCATGCTTTTCTGCAAATTTGTGGTGCACTTAAAATGTCTCTGCTGCTTTGTATTTCTCTGGTGCACACACATTTTGGGGGAAGTGGCACTTTCTCAGAAATCTTCCCCTGCTTTTGCTGGTTTGGAATGAATCTGTTAAGTACCATGAATTAGAAAATTACTTACAGAGTGGAGTTTTCAAGCTTTTGTTGTGCAAGGGTGGGATGCAGAGAGCCCATTAGATAATGAAAGTCCCAGTGAAAGCTTTTTCTGCACTGGTGTTTAAGGAATGAATAGTTGAATTTTTTTATTTTTTTTTTTAAGTTTTCATTCTGGTGTGCATCCTTCAGAAAGAAGTTGAGAATTGCAGTACTGATGAGGGCTCAGAGGAGGACTAGGGCTGGAAAACAAACCTTACAACTTCAGGCTTAAAAGTCTTTTTCACTCTATTAGTTATTGCCTGGATTGCTCTGGGTCATTAGTGACTTACACAAAAGATAAGTGAATGCAATGAGCTTTTCTGTGTTGTTGACAGAGACACAGAGGCCAAAAAGCAGAATATGTACACATTCTGTCTTGCACTGAGAAGTGATTTCATAAAAATGAAACGATCTAAATGTTGGAACAACTCACCATAAAAATAGAGGCCCCATTGTTGGTCAAAGTCTTTTCAGACAAGATTGGGTTGCTTGGTAAAGAATCATTTCTTTGAGCTCCTGGGACGTTCTGTGCGTGGCCTGGAAAGAGAAGATGGTCCTTCTGGTCTTGAAATCTGTTAATCTGAGCAAACTTCCAGGGCCCTTGAGGAGAACAGCATTGCCTTTGTGGCCTCAACAGATTAATAATATTACTCCAAAGATCACAATCAAATCGTGCTTCAGCTTCCCCGTGGAAAGGTTCAGGCTGGGTTTTTCCCAATATACCATTAATTAACTCTGTCCTCTGGGTTTGTTTTGCTTTTCTTCCCTTTCAGAGTGCTGACCTGTCCATACTTCATGTCCCAGGCCAGCTTGGACAGGGTTTGGAGCACCCTGGTCTGTGGGACGTGTCCCTGCCCATGGCAGGGGGTGGAACCAGATGAGTTTTTAAAGCCCTTCCAACCCAAACCCTTCTGGAATTCTGTGATTCCATGATAATACTTGGTTGTTGGCACCAGAACTCTGTTACTGGTTTTTACCCAGAGTGGTTGAAAAAACCATTGGTAGGAGGGTCTTACCAGGATGAGCCAAAGGAAAGGTGTGACAAAATAATAATTATTATTATCATTTGAGCGACAGGATTATCACCCACAACTTGGAAAAATGGAACTGTTCAGCACAGGCTGGTGTGGAAATAGTGATTTTATCAATTCTGCTGAGAGAATTCTATCTGTATCAACTTTGGTGATTCCTGATTTGAACTCAGGGTCTGTGTGCCCTTCTAGCAACATCACCATTTGCTGTAGGTAACAAATTACTTTAATTAAAGAAGTTTTTTGTGGTTTTGAGCAGCAATGAACTTTAATGTGAAGGAATTAGACTGTTTCACTGTTTTAAAAGTGTTTTTGAAGAGCCTTTGAAATGCTGGAAGTAATAAATAGCACCCTCTAGTCCTTAGCCCGGGTATGTGCCTAGAAAAATGTATATTTTGGGAAGAATTGAAGTAGGCAAAATGTCAAGCCTTATTTTTTTCCTCTTATTTCTGTGCCAGTTGTGTTTCTGTGCATGTCCTGGGTGTCACCCATTGCTGGATGAACCAGCTCATTATCTGGAGGCACAAACAGTTGGCATTTGTGCCCCAGCCCTCCTGGACGTTCCCGGGCAGCTCCGAGGGTGTCGTGGCAGGAATTGTGTTAAACTCTGTAAAATAAAGCAGATCTGGGCAAGGGGAAACACCCTCTTTTTACCAATGCTCAGGAGATGTTTGCACAGCTGGCAGCTCGTGCTCCCTCCTGTTCCTTGACCCAGGAGGAGCCAACATTTTAATGTGTTCCTGGAGGGGGAAGAAGGTGTTGTGGAACGGAGCTGCCACATCAAAGCCTCTGCTCAGCCTGGAAAATGGTTTCCACCACTGCCTTCCCCGGCCCTATCGGAGCACTCAGCACTTTCTCCCACTCAGCCTTTTTATTAAGAAATGGCCTGGAGAGAGTTTTATTTATATTGAAATGATAAAAGTGACGCAGAGCAGTTGAAAAGATCTGTGTGGCTCAGGAGACGAGGCCGTCAGGGATGTGATGTGAATTCTGGGTGATGTGCCCCTATCAAACCAAGCCATGTGGGTGAAGGAATTCCTCCCTGGAGGACAGTGTTGCTCTCTGGAGTAGTTTTTAACTGGAATGTCCTCTAAAATTTCCTGGCTTGTATTTTGCTGCTGTTCCCAAGTCTTCCTTGTGGCAGGAGAAATCATGTGTTTGATCAGTGGTTGCACAATAAAGGTTCGTGACCGTCGTGGAGATCATAATTCAGTTTTCAGCAGACCTTCCCTCTGTAGAAGGCTTATATTGACCCTTTGTTCTCCAGCATTTCTCCTTGGATTGCTGGAATTACGAGTCCAACCTTGGGTCAAGGGTTGGACTTGATGGTCTTGGAGGTCTTTTCCAGGTTTAATGATTCTGTGATTTTTTTCCTTCAGCGTGCTCAGCAATATAAGGAGGCTGAAATAATTAAAAAGCAATTTTTAAAATACCCTTATTTCCATTAAAATATCTTTTTTTTTTTTTTTTTAAATTCCTTTCAGCACCAGCCCTCCCTACTGCTGTGTGGATCTGTATTCCCTGAGAACAGGAGAGATGGTCAAGTCCATCCAGTTCAAAACTCCCATTTATGACCTCCACTGCAACAAGAGGTAAGGAGGGGGTTACTCTGCATTGCTTCTGTGTTAGGGCATGGAAAATTTCAATAATAAATACAATTATTCTGTCTTTCCTGCAAGCACAGCACTGGTTCTGCATTTCTTGTGGAATATTTCAGCTGGGATCTCCCAATGTGCTTCCCCAATGGCTTTTGTTTAAGGAGCTCAGACCATTTTGCATCTGAAATCATTTAAGCTCCTTTCAGGGTGAGCAGGAATCATTGAAATCCTTGATCATCCACCTACAGCTGGAGAAATGGGATCATGGAGAGTTTAACCAGCACTAAGGGGTTTATGTCCCTCTCCTTTGTGCTCCCTTGTCGTGTCAGACTCTGCCTTCCTGCCCAAAGCATTCCTGGTGTGCAGGCTGTGGTTTGCAGGGAATGATGTTCCAGTGAGTCAAATAATAAAGCTGCATCTCTCAGTTGGGGTGGAGAGAAAACAGCTCTGCAGGCTGAGGATCCCAGAGCTCAGACAGAATCTCTCGTGCTCACGGAATCACGAGTCCGGCTTTTTTTCTGAGTTAATTTTAAATTCACATCTCTGCCAGACACGCACAAAACTGAACCCCCTTGTAGTTTTTAAGGCAGAAGAGGAGTCCCAGGGTGCCTGTGGGAGGATCTGGCTGATCCCTTGGCACTGCTGGTGGGAGGATTTGGGGCAGAAGCTCTGCTCCCAGCCCCTGGTGCTGACGTTGGTGCTCCTCTCGCTCTGTGTTCCTGGGTTGGTCCCTGCCTGTCCTCAGGTCCCCCTGGACGTGGTGCAATCACATCCCTGCCTTAAAGGGAGGGCACTGAGGGAAGAAATTCCTGCTTTCCTTTGGAAATACCCCTTTGCTGCCAGAACTGATGGTCCTTCACCAAGGCAGGTGGATAATACAAATAAGCAAGAATAAGACATGGTTTATTCCAGCCTGTCATACAAGGGTTTAAAAACTTGCTTTGGGGAAGTTCTCAGTGTGGGAGAAGGTGTATCCTGGTCATAAAGCTTCCACATCTGCATTTTTGACCTCAATTTTTTAGGTAGTAAAGTGTTCCCTGCATAGTTTTTGCTCTTTAGTTCTGGTGATGAGCAGGTATTTTACAACAAAAGTGTGTCATGTACAAGCAAATACATAAACATACACCTGTAATTTTGCTTATTGACACAAGTTCTGCTTCTCTCAGCTGTGTTTGTGTGCTGATGTTCTTGGTATTAAACCCTCCCCTGCTCTTAGTAAATGAAATGGTTTAATAACTTTGCAGCGAGACGGGCAATGGGATTATTTCAAATTTAGCTCCTGTTCTGCCCGTCGTTGATTTGATTGTTATTTGAGTCAGTGAAAGTAATTCAGGGTTTGTTTTTTTTTTTTGCAATCCCATCCTTTGTTTTTAATGGAGCTTTTACTGCAGGAGGCAGATCATAAATGTGTTGCTGGGCATCAGATCTGTTGTGCCTCCTGAAGTGAAGGTCGTGTGGTCGGGAGGGGAGAGAACCCTCAGTAACTGCCAGGGGTGGGTAACGTGGCACTTCATCACTGCAGAGTTCCTGTCGATGCTTTTGGAATAATTACATTTGGATATTGAATCTTTAAGCCCATGCATTTAATGCCTGAAGCACGTGCTCCCCTTTCTGTGTTTGCAGGATCCTGGTCGTGGTCCTGCAGGAGAAAATCGCTGCCTTTGACAGCTGCACCTTCACCAAAAAGTTCTTCGTTACCAGTATGTAAAAAACCCCAAAGCTTTCTTTTTTTTTTTCTGTTATTCTGTGCTTTGTTTTGTTTCTGAATCCTCAAGGCAGGTCTCCATGTCTTCCTTTGGACTTGCAGGAAATCTCCTGCTCCAGAAGCCCCCAAAATGTTACTCTTTGAATCCTCGTCTCCTTTCTATATTTATTATTGCTGGGACTAATTTCTCACTGTTGTGGATTATTAATTATCAATTTAGCACATTGACATCCAGAAGTAGCTGAGGAATTCTTTTGTTCATTCTGTACAAATACATGTAAAAGCCTCAGGACTGGAATTTCAGATTATCCACATAAACAGCAATTAAAACCACATCCACAGTGATCTGCCCACTGTTCATGTTTGGTTGTTCTTTAGCCTCAGGTACTTTGTGGGGTTTTTTTAATGTGTCTTTATTTTACCAGGCCCCAAAGCTCCAGCAGCTCATGATTTATTTGGAAAGGTCACAGTTTTATTATTCCAAAGGAGAGTGTGAATTTTTCTGGACGTATTTTCAGTCACAATTGGAAAAGTTCTAAGTTATCTTTTGTGTTATCTGTGTATTTATAGGAAAATCTCATTGGGAGAAGCTGTTTCTTGGGATAGTTTGAGGGAAAGCAGCTTTCTGCAGTAATATTAAAGTTGCCAATAGGTGTCAGGTTCTTCCTATCCATGGATGGAAGATCCTGGAAATCTGCTGGGGTTCAGTGACAGGAACCAAGTGGGAAAAGACTTATTTGTGTCCTTCTATTCCTTACTCCTCTTGGAATGAGAATTAGGGTACCAACCTTGCTTTATTTTAGATCAAAAGTAAAAAAAAAAAACAAAACCTCAGTTAAATGTGTATTTTGAGAATTTTGGTACTATTTTTATTCCAGTTAATTTATTGTGGATTTTTTTTTTCAAAGATACTGCAGTTGTTTTTAGACATTAATTCACTGGCCTGTATTTTGAGGAACAGGGTAATCCTATTCCTTACCCTGACTTTGATTTGCAGTGCATTTTTAATGGAACAGCAGCAGAACTTAAAGAGGATGAAATAAAACTTTGGGAGATAAAGAGCAAATGAGTTGAAAAATCCCAACCTCCTGAGCTGTCCCTAATCACAATGTATTTCTCAAGCTGTGCTGCATTTTTAATATGAGAAACTCAAGATTTTTCTCTAACTGTTACATTTCTGGGGTCCCAAATTTGATCAAGAACACCCTAATTTTCGGGGTGTTTTGGACCATCCCAGCCCCTCTCAGCTCAGCAGTGGCCTGTGCCCCAGTGAGTGGGCAAATCCAGGTGCTTTTTCCCTGGCTAACTGGATTTCTGGGAGCTGTGCCCAGGGTTCTGCAGCTCCCTGGTTTCCCAGGGTGGGTGTCGTGCCCGGACACGCCGGGGCTGCAGCAAAGCTTTTGTCTGAGCTTTCCCCATTTCATGTGCTGAAATCTCCTCCACCTGAGAGTGGATCTTTAAAGGCTTAAGTCACTGTGCTGGGCTTGGAATGGGATGTAAATGAGCTGCAGGGATTTTTGGGAGGCAGCCAACTGGCCACAACTGGGCTCTCTTGCTGCCTTGGTAAAAAAAAATTTATTACGAGACAGTGCCAGTTTAAATTGAAAAAGTAGAAATCCCTGAATAGGAAGCTCAGGAAAAGGTCTTTTAAACTCCTTGTTGCTATTCTTGGAGCATCCCTGCTCCTCAGGACAGGCTGAGGAGCATCTGGATCACCCTGGTCACCTCAGCTGGACAGTGGCTGTGACAGTGTCACCGCCTGCCCAGGGAATTTCTCAGCATGAAGAGGATTCTCAGCTGTGATATTTGACTGCTTTTGGTCCTGAAAGGTCAAAAATATTAATGAGGATCACTGGCTCTCTGAAGACTTTTTTTTTTTTATGGTTTAAACCACTGTAGGAAAAAAAAAAAAATCTTATTTTTCAAGCCAGTTTGGTTGTGATGTGGAAATCACATCTTCCATCAGAACCAACCCCATGGTGTGGGAGCCTTGGAACCTCCCTGAGGCAGCTCAAAGGCAAACATCCAACAGAAGCTCTGCTCTGTTTTGTTGGCTACACATAGAAATCAAATGCAGAAGGTACAATTAAAAGCAGTGTCAGGAATTCTGAAGTCCCTCAGAAATGCTAATGCAGCTGCCTTGCACGTGAGGAGTGTTTGTCTTTCTGTTTTTTGGGGGTTTTTTTGTGGTTGAATGTGTAGCTTAATATATTGTTACAATAAATACACCATAAAATATTCAGGATGTAGAACACGGGCGAGTTCGTGCTGCTGTTGGAATGTTTAGCTCCTGCATTTCCTGCTTTTTTTCTGGAGCAAATTTGACATAGTACTAACCTTTCTTTTCCCCTCTGCATGGGATTAGATGGAAATGAGCTGATTTGACCGGGCTGGCTGAGAGCCAGCAGGTTTTATTTGTGCCTTTTGTGACAGAACCTCGGGGTACAGGTGCTCCAGCCTGGGGTGAGGGGATTTAAGGCAGGTGCTTAAAGGTGGAGGGAAAACATACTGGAGCCATTGTGGAAAAATGACCAGGATATCCCATAATCTACCCTGTGGGGTGTTGTGATTTTTAAATGGGAAGGCAGAGCATGGGTCTGCAGAGAGCCTGTGGCAGTGACTTCCATCCATCACTGTTCTCCCAGCTCCTTTTCCCTAGGAAAGGCCTTGCTCCAAGGGGAGGATAAAGCCAAGCAGTACCTTCACATCCTGCCCTGTTTTAAGTGCTCACGTGGCCAAACTAAAAAAGAAATTCATGTGATGCTTCTGATCAGAAAGTGTTGCCTTTCCTAGTTGTGAGTGTCAAGGCGTGGATTTAAAATAGATTTTTTTAATAATTAAGGGTTTTACTGTGGCTCGTTTCAGAGCCTTTTCTGAACTCTGCACGTGATCAGAAACCAGACTGATGTAGAGGCTTCCTCCCCCCTCCTTTGCTCTGAACAATAGCTGCAGAAAAGCTGAATTTCATTGATTTCTATTCCATCACTGCTCCCTCAACCCATCTCCAAAACTGCTTACTGAGTGAGCGCTGATGGTTATGATGGATACTTTCTTCTCCATGAAGAATATCCTTCCCACCCCCTGGGCCCTGGCTAAAGATGAGCACAGATAACATCATGCATGTGGCATCATCTCTGGGGCTGATAACGAGAGCCTGCTCAGGTTCTCCTGCCCTTCCACTCCTCATATTGATAAATCCTCCATCCATCATTCCCCAGGGATGGAGACAGTTATTGCAGCCATTAGCTGGCACCACATTTCTATTGATGCTACTTAGAGCCCTGAGAGGTAATTTTCCAGATTTTAGTCAGAGTATTTCACTGTGTGCAAGGGTCTCCAAAGGCTCACCCAACCACAGGCCTAAAGTTATTGGGTGGATGTTGGATGCACCTCTCCAAGGAAGGGAAAAACCCCAAACCAAAGGGTGTTGGATGCTCTGATTTGGACTTGGTGTTGCTGTTTGCACTGACATTCACACAGGAGGGGTGACTGGGTGGTTTCAGTTTGTCTGGAAATCATCTTTTTGGGGCATTTCTGGTAGAATTCCTTTCCCTGAAGGGCTCCCAGGGAGCTCTTTGCTTTGAAGTGAAAAACATTGGATGTCTTCTGAAAAGGTTTAATGGCTGAAGAGTCACGTTCTTGAGGAAGTTCTGAGTGTACATTTCCCTCCTCAGCTGTGCCCAGTGAGTGGCATTTATCCTGGTTATCCCACACAGAATAATTGGGATAATCATTGCCAGGATTCCTGTGTCTGTGGGGGAGATGGAAAGTCCTGGAGGCAGGTGGGGAACAGCTCCTGAGTCACAGTATTTTCTTGATCAGTGAAGAGGAGCCGAGTGTGTCCCTGTGAATTTAAACACTTTTTATCTTTATGCACACTCATATATATGAACACATAACCCTTCATGTCATTTTTATGTCCCTTGCCTGAGAAATGTTGATTTGATCTTGCTTTTACTTTTTAACAGTGTTTTATTTATAAGAGTGTTTCTTCCTGGCTGTGGGAACCAGTGTCTCACCATTCCAGGATGATGTTGAAAGACTTTCTGAAGGGGTTTTTTAGGGCAGATTTATGGAAACAAATGACTTGGTTGCTCACAGGAGGTTTTGCTACGTTGCAGGAAAATAGAAATACAACACAAAAACTGCATCAAGTCCCCGAGATGTGAATCTGTCACATCTCCTGGCTTTGACAGTTGTAAAAATTACATGTAAAACAGGAAGTGCTGTTTGTTTCTAGACAAGTTATTTCTATCTAAAGCACCCAAATCCTTAATGTTAAAGGCCAAACAAAGCCATCTCACTCACATTGTCCTGCCCAGGAACAGCAACCTCAGTGCTAACGTTGTTATTTATCACTGTCCAAGTCTCTGAACAAAAAAAGTGAACCTGAGATTAAACATTGTCCTGAAATCAGGCAAATTTGTGCTAAATTAAACAGCCAGACCTAAGGAACATTAAGGGTATTTTTGGTAAAAACTCTGGGGTTGGTCTTGGACCTTTGGAGTAACAGTAAAGTCATAGAATATCCTGAGCTGGAAGGGACACAGTGGGATCATCAAAGTCCAGATGCCTAAAACTGCCCTGATAGAGAGGACAGGGAAGTAGTAAAAATATCTCTGTAGTGAAAATAATAATAATAGCAACAATAATAGCTATAATAATGCTAGTAATGGTAAGAATGCTAATAATAATGATGATGATAATTTTAAAAAAAATAATCTGTGGTACTTCCACAATTATCTGTGAGGGAATTCAGTTCTTCTGCTCCAGGACAGCACAAAATCATGGAATGGTTTGGGTTGGAAGGGACCTTAAAGCTCATCTCCTTCTCCCACCCATTTTATGGGTGATGCTTGAACAGAAGGAAGTACAAGAACAATAGAAGAGTTTTGGAAAGTATGTGACAGCGTGAGAGGAATAACATTTACACAGGGCCTTTCATCTAGGAGGGACCCAGAGGAATTTATAAACAATATTGCTTTATACAGTTTATAAACAAACAAAAAATTGGTTTGCTAAAAAAAAAAAAAAACAAAAACGAAACAACAAAACCAAAAAACAACCCAACAAAAAATATTAGATAAAACAACTTTTATGATTTGTTTTCCTTGAAATAAACAATGCTTTTGCTACAGCAGTATCACTGTAGCAGTTATTTATTGGATATTCCTTCTCTGTGCTCCCCCTCATGGATCTGCTTTCTGGAGTGCAGTTCTTGAGGATGTAGTTGTGTAATTCCCTTCCTGTGGAGTGCTGTGTGTTTTGTAAGGCCCAGGCAAGAATTACACATTGATTATTAGAGAAGCAGCACAGCTTTAGTGGGCTCTTGGAGCTGTTTATTTAAAAATACACGATGTCACTGCTTCACTGATTTTTAGTGATATCCAGCGAGTCCCTTGGATGATTAAAGGTAAATAATTTTGGTTTAAACAAGTTCCTCCTTTGGAGCCTGCCTTCCCCAGCATTCCTGGTGTTTGCTGATTGTATCCCATCCCAGTGTCATGGTCATCACACCTGAGAGATGCCATTTGATTTATTGTTGGCTTATGGATATGAATTTCCAGGGAGGGGTAGAGATTTTCATAATTAGCACAAGGGTAGTAATTGAAAAATAATGGAAGATAAATGTACCTTCTCTTTGCTCACTCACTAAGCAAACATTTGTGTAGCTCTTTGGAGAACTGTAACTTCTGACATTCCTGTGTTCTCAGTAAAACCAAATATATAAAATGAGCAGAGCAGCAGAGATGCTAGAAGCATCTTTGAATCCAATTAATCATAATAATCCAATTTCAGATGATCATTTTATAACTCTGTTATTCAAAAAAGGGAAGAAACTAAGAAACTGTAGCACTAAAGAATTTTATCTGTGATGCTGTTTTGGTGTAGGTAAAACATGTGTCTTGGAAATGGGAAGACCAAGGCACAGGATATGAGGTACCAGGGTGCTCTTAGCCAAGTCCTCGTTTGGAGGGAGCCTGTTTTGTACTCTTCAGTGTTGCCTAGTTGGAATTTTTGGCTGTAGGAACTGAATCAAATGAGCAGAAAAACTTCCATTCTGATTTTCAAATGATGGTTTTTCTACTTCTTTTTTCCACGTGCATTTAGAGGGAGAGAGTGGCCGTGTGCTCAAAACCTTGTCACTCCCAGTAGGTTTTCACCTATATTTTGGGGGTGATAGGCCCACCACAGCTTGCTCCAAGCTCAGATGTTTTTTAATGCTTGCTTGGTTTGCTGCACTTTTGGAAGGCCTTTCCCTCAGCGATGCTTTCTTGGATGACCTCTCCGTGCTGTCATTAAAACTTGGAAACTTTGGTCTCCTTGACAGTTAGTTCTGCATTCTCATTATGTTCATTCCTATTGTAAACACACCAAAGTTGCTGCTGTTGCTGCTTAGAAAGGCCTTTTCCTCTGTTGTTTTGAAGTCCAGTAGAAATAGAAGTTAATCTTTAAGAGAGTGAGGCTGGTGAGGGTTGGATGGCCCAGCTTGGTGGGTCACGCCGTGTCTGCCTTTTCCTTTGCCTCGGAGATGATGTTCTGCTGACTCCAGCTGTTTTTTTGGAAAGCAGAAAAACAGTTTGCTTTTCCTTCCCATCAAGTATAACCCTTTGTTTATCCCTTGTGCTCGCTCTCCGAAATGCAGAGACTTGCAAAGAAAAGAAAGGGAGGAAATAGCTCTTTTTTTTTATTCTGTTTTTCGTGTAGGAGAGTAGAGTTTAGGACCGAGCTGAATTGTTGACCTCTGTGGAGTTTATTCTTAGAACTGGCTGATTTGTGTGTGGAGTCTGATTGACTGAGCCCAGTTCATGGAACAAACCACCCCCAGTGGGTCTGGGGAGGGCAGTCCCAGCTTTCCCAAGTAACTCTTCTATTACATGATCAGTTTTTGATTGGAAGGATGCTTTTTTGTAGGTCTTCATTTACTTCAGTTCGCTGAAGTATTTGAGAACAGCTCCCTTTTCCAAGGAGGACTCTTTTTTTGCTGTGAGTTGTTGAATTGCTGAGACTCCTTTAGTTTTTCTTCTGTGGGGATATTGCAGAGTTTGGGAAACACAAATCCCTGATTCTAAAGTCACCGTAGAGATTTACATGATGAGGGTTATCATCTGGCAGCTTTTAGTGCTGTATTTTATCCGTAAAAAGGAAGGCAAAAAGATGTGGGGGACCTGAATGCCTTTACTGACCCAGATCAGAGCTGCTGAGGCAAAAGTCAGCATTAAAACCTCGCCGGTCCTGATCCGTAATGTCATCGGAAGAATGTTTGTGTTTACAACCCAGGGTTGTATTTACAACCTTTATTTTTTTTTTTGCTTGCTTTGTTCCTTAAGAGGCTCTGGCTGCCCACATTTTATGCCCTTCTGGAAGGCAATAACAATTGTGGCATCATCTCTTCAGAATCCGTTTCCCTTCCTGAGATCGGGGCGGCGATGAGGCCTCGCAAAACATTCGCTTTGGTTTGTGCTTTTCCCGGCCCGAGATGGGTTTAACTGGATGAATTGCTGCTTTCTCTCCTTCCCTTCCTTTATGACCTCTGAAATGATCTTTCAGATTTTGCAATGCCCTCAGTGCTGTGCTCTGAAAGATGAAATGCAGAGCTGGTTTATCTCGGCGGCGGCGGGGCCTGCGCGGGCCTGGCGGAACGCACCGAAAACGTTGTCAAAAGTCACTTTAAACCTGCTATAACGCCCTCCCACACACCTTTGCCACCGCTCTGCAAGCACTGAAAATAAAGCCATTCCGCTTATAAAAGCCCTATTCCCCTCAGCAAACGCTCTGGGCTTTTTTGGGGCCTGTTCACAAAGTCGGGAGTGTTTGCGAAGGTCAGTTTGCCTTTTCTCCCTGTGCTTGGCAGAGCAGTGTCAGAGTCTGGTACAGGAGATTTTGGGGCTATAAAAGCTTAGCTGGCTGTGTCTGTTGTATTTTTAATTTTTTTCTTTAGGATTTTACAGTTGTGTGTTATGTGTGTTCTCTTAAAAATGCTGGTTTTCCCCTGATCCCAGCACTCCTTCAAATGTGACACAGGACCAGCTGCCCAGGGCTCCTTTAAATCACACACACGTGTCTATAAGATTTTAAATGTTGTGAGCAAATCTTGGGCAATCCATGAGAGAATTTAAATTACTAAATTGGCTGTTGAAAACTGAGATTAACCACTTGCTTCATAGTCTCCTTTCCCTTATTTTCTCTCCCCCCTTTTTTTAATGTAAAAAAGTGGTTTTTAAAATATAAATTAGTTTTAAAATTTTTATTTATAAAAATGTTTTATTTATAAAATTTCATTAAAAACATGTATTTTTTAAACTTTATTCATTAAATACCGTTTAACATGGGCCTGATTTATTTTAAGCCTTGCCATATTTTCATTCACAGCTATTTTCTCATATAGGTATTTTCACCTTTTAATCCTCAGGAATAATTTTCTGTTTTATTCTGATCTTTATCTGTGTATGTATCTGTTTTTAATGACAGTGTAAAGGTAATGGAAAGCAGGTGAAAAATGGAAAGGTGGCCGCTGATTTTAAATGAATTACAAATTCTCTCACTGTGTAAAGTTAAGTGTGTGCAAAAGTACAGTGAGAGGCTGAGGGCTTGTATATAAAATTGTTAAAATCAAAACCAAAAGCATTTTGAAAGGCTGAGGGCTTCTGTGTAGAATTATTAAAACCAAACCCAAAGCACACTGCACCCTTTCATACAACAAAAAAATCTAGAAGAGCTCGAAGTGAGCAAACTGCTCACCAACAGAAAAATGGCAATCAAATAAAATGAATTAAAACGTGAAGACACAGAACCAGTCGGGTCAAACTTCAATATCCCCTCACCCCACTGTATCAAAATGGCACTAAAAATGCAAACATAAGGAGAAATCATTATTTACACATAATTAAATGTTCAGAATAGCTCATCTAACCACAGCCTTATCTGGAAGAACAAAAATGCAAGCATCCACTGAGTGATATTAGCAACCCAAAGAGGTTTGTTTAGACTTTTTTTGTTTTCTTGGCAATAAATAGAATTCTTTGTGAGAAGTCATTAAGATATTTCTTAATGTTCCCTTTCCCAACTTTGCAGGCTGCTATCCTTGTCCAGGGCCAAACATGAATCCCATTGCCCTCGGAAGCCGTTGGCTTGCTTATGCAGAAAATAAGGTAAGGGAAGGTTTAATTGCAAAAAATACTTCTGGGTTTCATCCTAGATTTTTTGTATATGTAGGGGGGAAAAAAAGACAAGAAAAAGTCTCAGGAAAAAGGTATGTGAAAAAGAAGGTCTGTAAGAGGAGTTGCATTAAAATGACAGACCTAATAGTTATTTTTATATATCATATATTTACTGTGCACATGAACTTGGAAGGCATAAATATGTGGAGGCAGAGAAGACAAGCCCTCAATGTGTGTTTTCAGTGAGGTAACTCAATAACCAACCCCTTTTGTGCTTTAAAAGTTTAGAGCACTTAGTTATAGACACTTCTGAAGGCAAAACAGTTCCTAAATTCTGTTTTGGGGGGGGCTGAGTCTGGAAAGAGCTGATGAGTTAGTGTGAAACAACACAGCAATGCAGAAAATAACATCAAAATACCCACTTTTGAACATCTTTGAAAATGTTAAGCTTCAGGGAAAAAAAAGAAAATATTTAGATAATTGTTCTTATTTCTAGAGGCAAAGAAAGCAGATCCCAAAAAAGGAATTATCACTCCTTTTACCCAGCCCTGGGCCAGGGGTGTGATCATGTATTTAAAGCTCAGAGTGTTTGAAAAGTCTAAATTCAGCTTCTAAAACCTTATTTTTTATTTCAAAGCAGATTTTTTTTCTCTCTTCCACCTGTGTGAGTGGAGTAGCTGTTTCTAGAGCTGAGCCAGGAATTATCAGAGGCAGACTTTAGAAATGCACAACTGATTCCTTCCCAAACCCAGGCCTGCCTTTGCCTCAATGCCACGCCTGCCTGGTGCTGTAAAACTTAACCAGCCAGCCTGGGATTTAAAAAGTTGCATTTTGCTGACAAAATATAAGTTGCTGATCTGCAAAAGAATTACATCACAAAGGGAATTGAAATGGTTTGTGTGTTCCCAGGTAAATTCCCTGTGGGCTTCCCCTTTCTCTCTAGTTTAGCTGTTTTTATTTAGATACTTAAGGCAGAAAAGCCTGTAGAAACAAATCCATCTTACAGTGATTTTAAATTTTCTTTAGCTCAAACAGGCAACATTTTCTGTGTGCAAGCAACAAATGCCTATAGTTTTTTATCATTTTATTTGGTCAGAAGCAGAGATTCTGTTGTTATTTAGGGTTCAAAGGCAGAACCTTTTGTAGGCTGATGGCAGGTACAAGAGTCTTGTTCTGATTTATTAATTTTGCAGGAAGGCAATATAAAGCAAACCCCGTGTACATTTCCTTTAATCTATTAAATGTAAAGTTTCAAGCAGCTCTTTTTCCTTTGTCATCTCCTTTGCTCCTAAAGAGGAGGGGGGGGGGAAAAGCCACACTCGGATTCTTAGAATGTCTGATATTTAATGTTACATATACACGGCTAAAGCTTTTGATTATATTTATTTAAATTTATTTGTGGTATTGCTGCCAGACCAAAAATCCCACCATTTCAAAAGTTTATGAATTCTCAGTGACTACTCAGCTGGTAATTGAAAACTGGAGCGGAGGACGCGACAGTCTGGGTGGCACCCAGAAGATTATAAAAAGGGGTTAAGTGTCTCAGCAGGGCTTTCTGCTATTTGTAGGGGGAAAAAAAAAAAACACACCACTGTACATGATAAATAAGAGCTCTGGTAATGGCTTATGGGTTTGTGTAGTTTAATAGTAGTTACTTGGTTGCTGTCTTTTCTTCTCGTAGCTGATCCGATGCCATCAATCCCGTGGTGGAGCCTGTGGAGACAACATCCAGTCTTACACTGCCACAGTCATTAGTGCTGCCAAAGTGAGTCCATCATCTGCTCAGCTTCTCGTGGAACATAATTATTAGGTTTCCCTGCTGAATTGGGCTGTGTGTCATCACCCCCCTTCCCTTCCCTTCCCAGACAGGAGAACCCTGCAAGCATCAGCACCCTGTGCCTGTGCTCCCTGACCCTGCAGATCTGGGAGCAGCCACAGAGTGTTCCACAGAGTGTTCCACAAAGTATTCCCGGGCCTGAGCTGATTTTTAAGGGTTTTCTTTATTGCAAGCAGCTCTTCATATTAGGAAGTCACAGTAAAATGGGTTTGTGTAATGGCTGCTCCTAATGGTACAAGTTTATCAACATTTTGAATTATTAGTCTTTTAGCATCATGAAAAGTGACTTTACAAGTGCTTGGTGCTTCTTGGGCTCCATCACACTCACACTGTGCATTTTAATCTCTCTGAAGGATGACAGTGCAGTCCTGGAGCTAATTAATCACCTTCTTTGAAGGTTAGAGCTTATTAATGACTGTTTACATATAGGTTCCACTGCCTCATTTTCTTGGTTCAAATGTTATAATATCCCCCTTTTCAGAGAAATATCTGGGGTTTCATAATAGCAAAGGAAGACCATGGCTTGGAAAACTCTTAAACAGGACAGAGTATGCACAACTTTTGTTTAACTGTTCCCCCCCAGCTCCAACATTTTGCCAAGTACTTTCTTTTTCTCACACACAGACACACACAGGGTGAGTTTTGGCACTGCCTGGTGAACTTGGTGCTGATTAGAAGCTTTCCCTGTAACCACGAGCCTTTTCATTTCTGATATGCACAACAAAACAAACCTAATAATAGGAATGAAATGACAGCACAGGACAAGAAGGCTCAGTGTCACTGGAGAAAACAACACTTAGAAGAAGCCACAAAGAGAGACACAGGGCAGGCCAGCTCATGTAAAAACAAAACATAAAAACAAACATATTCCCTCACAATCCCAGTGTGGCTGGAGGAGGAGAAAAATCACAGTTTTTTACATAGTTGAGGGGAACTGGAATTGCTCCTCTCCTGCTGTGATTTGCTGCATCTCTGTCTACTTTCACCATCAGCAGAGTGGAAAAAAAAAAAGATGTGTGGGGAAATCTCCCCAAACTCCTTCAATCTCAGTATCATGAACATCTCTTTTTATAGCAGAGATAAGTTTGAAGAAGTGACTGGCTTAGTGTGATCAGCCACAGTTTGGATCAGATGTGGTAAAATCCTCCACAACAGATCACTGCAGCTGATGACCTTCCCTGCTGAGCTGCACTAGCCAAGGAGCATAATCCAGAAATTCCAATGTTAAGCTGAATTTATCACGCTGAAGTAGTGCTATTGCATCATGTGAGTAGATCCTGAAGATAAAATGTGTTTATAATCATAGGAAAGAAAAGATTGTTCGCCTCTGTACGGAGATAAACTCGCAGTGAGAGTCAGGAAAAGGGATAATCCCCAGGGCACAGTGTCTGCACTACTTGGTGTTTGCACATGGCTTGTGCTCCTCACTGTTACTGTAACAGGCAAGATTAATACTGATACACTTTTAAATATTTGCACCATTTGGCTCTTGAGTCTGTCTCAGTCTCGGTGTATTAATTTGTTACCCGCAAATAAGGCAACTGCGAATCCGAAATGTTTAATTTATTAGTGATTTCACTGAGCCTTGGCTGGTTATCCAGCGAGTTTTCATCTCTGATAACTCCAGTGCTGACTTGCTGGCAAATATCTGGTGCTCTCTGGCCATCTCATTGCCTCACCACCAGCTTTACTCCATCCTTATGTGAGCCATCACTTCTGAGCCTCTCCTGCTGCTGTGTCCTCTCAGCCTGCAGTGGTTTGTCATCCCTTTGCTTTCATCAGCAGAGGTAGCAGCTCTTTGGGAAGTGGAGCTCCTTTTTTTCCCCCTTTTGGTTCAGAAGTGGTTCTGTTAAAGTTCTTGTTTTGCCAGGTTCCCTTGGCTTCCAGCCTGTTCTCTGTTTGGGTTCCAGTCTCTTCCTGAAGGAAGTGAAAGGACCTTCCTATAAAAGAGAGGAAAAGCTGAGAGCAAAGAGCGGTTTCAGCAGGGCCACTTGGGAGAGTTACCTCTGAGATCCTCTCAGTGGCAGCACAGAATATTGACTGTCATGGTTTTCCCTTTGAGGAGATGTGTCCTGGTGGTGACAGTGGCTTTGTCCTCCCTGGGAGCTCCTGCTGTGCCCTGCACTCCAGGAATTCCCTCCCTAATCGAGTCAGAAGGTCCCTCTTGGCTCAGAATGCCAAGGTCAAAACTGTGATCCTGTTTGGGTGGGTTGTTACTGGTGCCAGAACTCTTGTTATTCAGGTGACACTATGAAGAATTCCTTTGTGTCATCTTCCCATTTGATTTCCAGGAGGATTTTATTTTTAAAATTGAGCTTTTTGCTGTTTCTCCTTAAATGCATCTCGCAGGAGCATTGCTTGCTGCTGCTGCAGGAAAACACACACATCTTTCCCAACTCTATCTCTGATTTTCCACACTTTGGTGCTTTTCTTGCTAAAAACTCTGATAACTTCTATCATTTGACCCAGCAGAAAACTTCTGGAAATAGAACATGTCTCAAGATTCCCATTTAGGTTCATTGTTATCAAACTCATATGTTTGGAAAAATGAAAATATTGTTCCTTATGGGATAAAGTTTCTTTTCCCTCCTGCTGGATGGAGTAGGATGGAAGTAGATTAACTTTCAGAACAAACTCCATTATTACCTAACGGTGTTGCTGATGGGAGAATGTTCAGGTGAAATGTGAAATTTTTTTTGTTGTAATTGTCCATATTTATCCATTTTGGATGCAGCAAGGAAGGGGAATTAGGAAAAGACATTTTTGCTTCTTTTCTCCCTGTGTCTTGTTGAGGAGAACTTTGGTCCCACCGTGTCCCAGCACACTCTGTGTTCAAGTGGAGCTCACACTTTCTGTTTAAGAGGAATTTCCTAACAGTTTTATTCCCTATCTTACCTCTTTTCAGAACGTGGGGCAAGAGCAGGAAAGGGAAACTTCTTTGCAAAGCCCAAATATTTCCATAAATATTTAGTTTGAGCTTGAATCTGTAATTGATTGAACAGTTCACTTTGTTCACACTGACTGTGAGGCTCAACTGTGCTGACACCCAAGGCAGATCTTCTTGATATCTTCCTGCTTTCTATAGATTTTTCATTTGACAGCAAATAAATCATATAAAATGCATTTATTATGAGAAACAGGAGCAATATATTGTCTTGTCTCTAAAAGGATGCAAGGCCTTTGTTGGAACAAAAGAACCTAAAAAGCACCGAATGATGCATTTTAATTCTTTTCATCTAATTAAAGCTGCAGTTATTCTTCAATTAAATGGGATATGAGTGCATGTATTTATTTTAATTAAATATATGTATTTCTTTATATTTAAATGAACGTGAACAATCCTGTTTTAAAGTAGATAGGGTGGATGTGAGTTATAAATAATATGTGTGTCTGCACAATGTGCATCGTTGCTTAAAAGGAGCTGGATCAAGGATTTTAATTTTATTTATAAGCAAACTTCACTGGCAGGTTCCCATCAGTGACAGAGGAGCTGGGACAGTGCAAACTTTAACCTATTTCATTTAAAATGTATTTGGTCTGTCACATGTCTCGCATCAAATTATAAACCAGCTCCTTCTCACCTCATAACTTCTTTGGTTGATTCTTTCTCCATATCTTTTAATCCCAGAGTGGTAAAGTGATTTAGCAAAGGCTGCATCTGTTTTCTCTTGTTACCTGATAACTCCTTAATGAGGACTAACAGCTTATGTGAGAGCAAGGTCATTAGTCCTAATGGATGGAGGGACAGCTGATATGGCATGGGAAAGGTTAAAGATTACCCGGGAAGTTTGGCAAATATACACAACAGCACGGGGCAGTCAGTGCTGGAATGGCTTCACACTGATATTCCTGGGCTAATGGGCTCATCCCTGCACACCCACTGCTCCTCAGGATTCCTGCTCCAGGGGGCAGGAATTCATTTGGCTCGATAAGCACTTTGGGTTTTTTTCCTGGAGAGCTATAAATTTCTCCTTGGCACTGTGTCATCCCAGCGCTCGAGGTATAAATAGTAAAGATATTTTCCTAAAACAGGTCAATTAGAGTTTTTGGCCTTTTTTCACTTGGCCGTGTGGCGCTGCCTGATTCCTCCTTCCTGCTGGATAAACTATAAACGAATCTTTTAGGGCATTTTAAGTGGAAAAAAAACCTGCCTGGTCAGTTTTTGGGAGGAGAGTTGGACCCCCCTCCCCGTGGTGGCTATTTTAGTCTGTCCCTCACCCCTCAGTCCCTGCTTTATGTCACAATTCTCATCCCTCTGCCTCGTTTTATTCCACTCTCCGCCCGTCGCTGGGTATAAAAAGAAATAATCAGAAACAAATGGCAGGATATTACTAAAGACTTTAAACCCCAAAAAGCCATCACTGTGCTCAAGGCCTGGCTCGATTTTGAAGTGGAAGTATCTCCATTAGCAGTAATGGGGTGAGTCCATCAGCAGAGGCATCTCAGAGGTTAATCAGCCTTCCTGGCCATCGATACCGTGTGGCGCCTGCTGCCCTGGGCCCTGCCCGGGCTCTCCTGACAGCACACCCGCAAGTCATTGCCCATGAATTATTAAAACAAACGTTTGGCTGCTAATTGATGAACACTAATGTGTTTTCTAATCACTGCAGTTCGAGATTTTAGCACTAAACAAAGCAGTTGCTATTGATTTGTGGCCGCTTCTTGGTTTTTGCAGCCTGGCATCTGGGTGCCTTTTTTTTTTTTTTTTTCTCCCCCTTTTCAATTTAGCAGGCAGCTTAGCTTGTCTTTTTAGTTAAGAATTGGCTTGTTACAGTGTCATTCCATTCTGATCTCTCTTGCTATTTCTTATTTATATTGCCTAATAAATCTGCTCAGTTCCCTTACAGGCAAACCGGGCGCAGTCCTTGATTCAAGGAGAAAACATTTCAAGTTGTAGTTGGGGTTGTTTTTCTTTAAATCCTCATCTCTCCTACTGTGTCTACTCTCCCTCTTTCTCCAAACAAAATAAAGCAACATAAAAACAATCTCCAGCATCTTTAGCTGATAAAAGCTGGTGCAGTGAAAATGTTTTCGAAAGCCGCGTCTGGAAAACACGCAGAGCCTGGAAAGTCCCAGGACTTGTGCTGGGATGTGCAGCTGGGGATGGGGGTTCTGCTTTCCAGGACCTTCAGAGGGGCATTTGTAATTTTCCTGGGTTTGATCCCACGTTCAGTTTTCACACTGCAAAAGGCTTTAATTGCCAAGGAGTGTGTTGGATCCAGGGAAGGCCAAATCCCATCTCTTGCCCTGTGCAGGAGACAAAACTCTGTCAGGATCAGCATCTCAGGGTGTTTTTGTGTGAGCTCTGCCCTCCTACACACCCAACTCGGCCTCATCATTTAATCCTTCCCAGGCTCTTGAAAAGAAGTCAAAACAAAATTAAAGAAACTAAAAGCTGAAATACTTAAAATATTAAAAATCATTTAAATGTTAAAATACTCTTTTTTTTTTTTTTCCTGAAGAATGCTTTGGAATAACTGAATTCCAGACCTGAGGTGAAATTTTTTCAAGCTGTTCCTCCTCCAGCCCTTTGCAGCCGATGCATCACGGGCAGAAAACACTGCAGATAAATCCACCCCGCCGCCCTAAAATGTCATTTATTGGGTGTTTTCCTCTTGGCAGACGATAAAGACGGGGCTGACCATGGTTGGGAAGGTGGTCACTCAGCTCACGGGGACGCTGCCGTCGGGAGCCACCGAGGAGGAGATTTTGGCTCACAGCAACCTCCGCCGGAGCCCTCTGGTGCCCGGGATCGTCACCATCATCGACACCGAGACGGTGGCAGAGGGACAGGTAATGTCAACACACAGGCAGGACCTGCATTTGCACTGAAACCTCACCAAAACGCCCTTGAAAATGAAAAATAAATCGGATTTTTTTGTGCTCGTTCCGGTCCCGCAGCGCTGAGATAAAGTCCTGCTTGGGGCTGAAACGAAGCCAAAATATATAAATATCGTCCTTCCAGGGTATTTATGTGACACTTTGACAGGGCAGAGTGTGAAGTGTCACATTTTGTCTCTCAGGCACTTGTTCCTCATTGACACTGATTGATGCTGATCAGCCGAGGTGGAGATGGAGCCTGATTATATTTGTTAATGTGAAAACGTGATGGTCTAGAAAATGCAGAGAACTGTTGAATTCCAGGTGAAAAAAAGATGCTGAGTGGAGTTTATTAAAAAAGCTTATAATTTTATATAAATCTTAAGGCTACCACACAGCTGTTTTGTGAGGCATTTGCACTGTTTTACCAAGAATATAATAAATTTACTGTATGTAATAATATACATACAGTGCATCAGGCAAAACCATTTGTTACAAAATCCATACCATTATCACACCCACTATAAATGGGTGTATTTTACTGTCTTTAGGGCAGAGAAGATTTCCATGTCCTTCTTTGTTTTGTTCTCTCATCTCATTTTTGGTCCTGGATCCAGTGTTTATGCAGAACTCCCACACACTCCATTATTCTGTAACTGGTAATATTTTTTTTCCTCGTGGTCCCATTTATTGAATTTAAAAAGACAAAGCCTTTATTTTTTTCTTGTTTCCCCCTGTATTTATGGTGCTCCTTGCAGGTGAGGTATTAAGGACACATCAGTAGTCAGGTTGACATGGTGGGGAAAATAAAATGTTTTACTTGAAAAGAAACAAAACAAAGAAAAAACCCTGTTCTGCTTGTTCCTGAGAATTAGTTTTGGAAGTATTTAGCCAAGCAATGTTTCATTGAAAGGGGGTTGTTCATAAAACATTATAGGCCTTTTCTTCCAAAATCGAAATGAAGGAAAAGAAAGAAAGGAAGAGGATGGAAAAAGAATTTATTTACTTAAGATCTTAAGAGTCAGGTCTTAAAATAATTCTGTTGGCTGTTGGGGTTTGTTTTTGTTTCCAGGGGAAAAAAACAAAGGTCTTTTGGCTCTTCATATACAACCAGGGGAAAAAAAAAAAAAAGAAGAATTTTCCTTCATAAATTTCTGATGAAGCCTTTTTAATGTGGTCATTATTCCTGCCCCTCGTTGTCTGTGCTTTGATTCTTCTGCACAGGCCTAGGGGGAAAAAAAAATGATAGATCTTAGGGTTTTAAGTCTTGTTATGTATGATTTAGAGGTTTTATGAACTTGTCCTCTGACCTTAACAATAGTAGGGAGCTCTCAAGCCTAAAGGGCACTATAGGAGAGTAGTTGTAAAAATGATAACGTTTGCCTTGTCCAAATACTGCTGCTCTAACATAAATAAAGCCATCAGTTCTAGGAAAATCATTTTTGCCTTGGATCTCCAGGGAAGGAGGCTCCAAGTTGGATGTCCTAATTGTTTGTGTGTGCTGCATTCATATTTTTGTGAGCTGAAGTTTTAAATCTGTCAGATTATTATTTTAATAAAATTATTATTATTTTAATTATTATCAATATATTATTTTATTTTAAATAATGCCTTTATTATTTATTATTTTATTATTATTATTTTTTTTTAAATCTGTCAGATTATTATTTTCAGTGCTGGGATTTGCTTTCAGCATTAGCATTGTGTTTCTTTCCAGGGAATGACAATAACCTTTCTTTTGCAATGTTAGATTTTTCACTGTGCAGGAGACTTATTTTTAACAGTCTTTTCTTGCTGAAATGTGCTTCTAGCAAAAGGAAAGTTGATTAAAAATGACTGAATACACTTTGTACTTGGTCGTTCCCCACGGCCCCAGCACAGAACCTCCTCACATGAAGAGTGTCCTGGCTGCTCCCTGTCCCCACTGAGCTCTTCCCTGTCCCTCCAGCTCCATTTCCAGGGGAAATGTAAGTTTTTGTGCACTTTTGGATGTGCTGGAGCCTGATTTTGGGTGTTTCCCGAGGAGCCTGGCAGGGATCTGGTGCCGTGTGCTGGGCAAGGAGTGCCAGGCCAGGGCAGGTGGCATGTGTTTGGACTGGCTGGGTAGTCCTGGCTGGTTTTTATGGCAGAATTGACTGAAGCTTCAGTTCAGGGGAGTGTTTTAGCACATCTGACCTTTAAACTGGGCGAGGAGCTCCCTGAGCTCCCTGGGATTGCTGCTGCTGGGGGAGCATCCAGCTGATTCCACAGCTTAGCCCTCATTCTGTGAACTTCTGACATTATTCTGCTCTTCTGGGGCCAATCTGCTTGCTGGCAGTGGTCACCCAGAGTACCTGTGCCCAGCCTGTGGCTGGCAGGGCAGGGGATGGAGCAGGTTTTGGGGAGAAAACGGGGGTTTTGGGGAGAGCCGGCGCCGTCCAGCGACTGCCTCGTGTGGGTCACTCCCTGTTTTCCTGATGCAGTGGTTTTTCCAAAGTTATTGGTTTATGGAATCACAGAATCATTAAGGTTGGAAAAGACCTGATGGATCATCAAGTCCAACCTTTGATCTAATCCCCCCATCCCATGAAGTGCCACGTCCGCTCGTTTTTTGGACGCTCCCAGGGGTGGTGACTCCACTTCCCTTCCACTGCTTGGCCACTCTTTCACTGAAGAGATTTTCTTTTTTTTCCCTTGTCTTGTCACCCCAGTTTTCAGATTTCAGGGAATAACAGGTCTGGGTGGGACCAAACAAACAGCAGCATTCCTCTTTCCTCGTGCCTGTTCCTGGGGGGTTTTGTCACTGTGCCCATCACAGACTTTGCTCTCCCTGCACTCACTGGGAACCCCCAAATTAGGAATGCCAGCCAAGTGCTTCCTGGGCTGAATTAGCCCTTGGAAAGCCTTGCATCCCCTCCCTGAGTGTAGATTTGTGGGTGCTTCCATGGTTTCCAGGGGGGGTGTCAGCCTGGTTGTAACCGAGGGGAGTTTCAGAAGCAGGAATGAGTTATTTTCTTATCATTAAATAAATCCCTCCCCTCCTTCAGGTCCATAAAGATTTCCATCAACCTGCATAGCCTAACTGAGAACTTGGGTGTTGCAGTGAAATAAAACAATTTCCAAGTTATAAATACATCTTTAAGATAAACTGTGGTAAAAAAAGAGAAAGGAAGAAATCTGATTTAAAAAAGAGAAAGTAAACCTAAGGCAGGCAAGCACATCATTTTGGAGGAAGAATAACTGCTTTTTTTCAGTGGGAAAGCAGGGTTTTTAAAAAAATATATGTATTTAAAGGCTTGCAAATTAATTGGGCAAGTGCTTGTCCAGTTCCTTTGAGCACAACAGCACAGGTTTTAAAGATGGACTGAGCTGCTCTGTGCAAATACAGCAATTTATTTGCCAGTAGGACGATTAGGGAACATATTTTGGTTACAAGCCAGAGGGACTATTTGCAGCTTTAAGTTTTCACTAATTTTTTTGTTATTTCTCCCGTTTCAAAGACATCAAATATGAGGAATGTGAGGTGGAACTCGATGTGTTCCGTGCACTGCACGGGGGGTGAAATGCAAACTCACCACTGAAAAACACACAGTTAGAGACCAAAGAAGTCTCCTTGTGGAATCTGCCAGGATTAAATATGGGGAAATATTTTTAATAAACCTGATGAATGTAGATATTGTAGTAAACTCCCATCCCCAGCAGTTGTTTATGTGATAGCTCCTACTTTCTTAATTGGCGATACTTTAAGAAAATTTGAATTATGAGGTCATTAAATAAATGCAGAGGAATGCAGAATTATTGACGTTGGCTGTCATGAGATATTTGTGAAAGGAATAAAAATAATTATCGAGATGCCCAAGTAACTTTGTGGTAAACCAAAGTATGTTAACAAGGTTGTGTGCTTGTTTAAACTTCCTTCTAATGAAGTGTTAGCAAACTTTTCAGTTGGATGGAACCACTATTTATTTGAATCTGTTAATTAGTTGAAATGGCTAAAACTAAAGCCCTACAGATGTCCTCTTTTTTTTTCTTTTCAGTAATTGGAATTAAATGTGTGAGACTTTATTGGCTCGGGCTTTGAAAGCAAAAATTATTTTCCCCTCGACCTTTGTTTCTGTATTTTAATTAATTCATCCACTGGGCCACCCACGTGCAGGCTGCAATAACCACCCTGCTCAAAAAAGTCTCCAGTTTTTTGGGGGCTTGAATGTAAAATCTGTTCAACATCCAGCAGTTGGTTGACAGAGAAATGATGTGGCCCTTCCAAAATACAGGACCCGGTGACGGATGAGCCACCGCCGAGCGGCTCATCCCCGACCCAGGCCAGGGTTTGGGGAATATTTGCAAAACAACTCAGGAGAAGAAGATAACATGTTGATCTGTTTATGTTTTAAAATGTGATTGGGGCTTTTTTTTTTTTTTTTTTCCCCTCCCTGTTCCCTATTAACTTTTTATTGCATTAAAGAGGAATTTTCAGGGGAAAAAAAAAAATAACAACCAGCCGGCCGCTGCAGTTTCAAAAGTTCATTTTCATTTGGTGAGGAGTTGATGGCAATTGAACCAAATCAAGATGCTTATCAGGAGCAGGAATTGTTGGGAAACTTTGGTCTGAAGCAGGGAGAAGCTCAAAGAATAGAGCATATTCCATAATAAAACTTTAACTGTGGACATAATTCCACTGGTCATTAACACCAGGGCTTTTATTTTGGGAGCAGCTCTCACAAAGCCTGACCTGATGTTCTCTTGCTCAGACATTTAGCCTCGATTTTCTTCACTTTTTATGTCCCCGTGTATTACAGAAGAATTCTTTTTATATGTAAATATAAAAAAGAGCACCAGGATTCCCTGGGAGCATAATACTGTCTGCCTCACTTTTATTAAAGGAGATCTGGTTTTTGTCAAGAAGACATTTTTGTCTCAGATAAATGGTTCAGGCTGAGCACGGGGCTGGTTTGAGTTTATGCTGGATTCTATTAAAAGGAGAGCAGTAGTTTAATGCCACAGATCTATCACTTTTAGCCCCTTTCCACTGATGTCTGACCTTGGCTGTAAGTTGGGGGAGGCTGAGGGGGTCGGTGTTTGTGGGTAGGAACTGACTCAAACCCTACCTTCAGCTATTTAAGCCATTGGAGAGCTCATCAGCCAAGATATCTTTATGATATAATATTCATATTTATAATTATTGCCAAAGCTATTCGTTTTTATGATGATGGGATTACTCTTTCTTAATTGTATTAAGAGTAGGACCGGCTTGATTAGATTTGGGCCCATTTTTTACTTGTGTTACTTTCATGTTTTATTTAAAAACATGTCTCCACTGGGATAAGTGGTGTAATTTGCCTTTAAAGATTAAAATAATTGGAGTCATAATTACTGGTGGCTTCTGTTGAGCAGGACGGAAAATACGGCGGATGAAGAAAAATATGGCATAGGAGGAAAAAGCTGCAGCTTCAGCCCTCAGAGCAGACACTGGTGGCTGGTAGTAAATGTAACAATGCCCTTGGTGTTCTGTCTCTTCATTTTTGAGTGAGATAAAGAGGGTTTGATGACCCTTCTCTCAGTGTTCTGTTGGAGCTGCTTTGGGAGCCGCGGCCTTGGCTCGGCGTGTCCGGCCACGGGCTCCGTCCTGGGCAGCTCTTTGGAAAATCTTGTTGCAACTCTCTTGGTAAAACCCTGTTTGGGCATCAGGAATAGCTCATTTATTACAGTTTATTACATTTATTCCTTTGTTACATTTAGTGCAAGTGCTCATTTATTTGCGAGGGTGTCTGGGTGGAACAGTCCGAGCGTTCGTTTCTCGTCACTTGTTTTTTGCCAGCTCTGCAGGGAAGGTCCTCGAGCACCCTGAGGAGCCTCAGTGAGTGAGTAATGCTCAGATTTATGAACCTTTCCCAGTGAGAGACTTTGTAAGGCCTTTTACTCCTAATAGTAGGGTGGTTAGAGGCCACCACCTTGGAGAACGAAGCCTGGTTGGCACGAAAAAAATTGCAGGCTGGGGATTCCTGTGGGCTCTGTCAGCTCTGGGAGGGCGAATGAGCTGCTTCCCTCCAGCTCCCCCACAGCACTTGGGTGTGTTATTAGGGAAATTGTCCCACTGTTGTGATTTCCAGGAAAAATTTCCAGCTCTGCTGTTTGCAGTGGTAAGAAACCATCAGCCAGTTGAAAGGAGCCGGTGGGACGATGTGGGTGTTGATTTGAAGGGCCATTTGTTACCCTGCAGTCCCTCCAGCAGCATCTTCCACTTCAGCTCTGCCAGGAGTGGCTCTAAAATCTGTGACATTTGTGTGACAGAGGCCTGGGATGGTTTTTAATTGTTGCACAGTTCCAGTTTCATCCTTGTCCACCCGAAATCTGTGCGATTCGATCCATCCAACTCGATACAAACCCTGCTGTACTGAGGCACTTAAATCCATATCAGGATCTCTGATACAGAAAATAATGTATTCCTAAGGCATCATGTGTGCCATCAGCATAATTTTGACTTCCTTAGGTTGTATTAAAAGGGGAAAATCACCCTGGGATTTAAAGCTGTGCAAGGTCTGACCTGGGACGGGAACCAGGCTTTGGGTTGGTGGCATCTTAGGGAGGGACATTCCCAAAGAGGCTCTTTGGTTGATGATGTTAAATCTAATCCCTTGGATTTTATTTTTTACCTCCTTCCTTTGCAGTGTTGGAATTGTAAAAAGGGATGTGTGTTTTCCCCAACTGTGCAGGAGGGCAGGGGAAGGATGTGACAAGTCCTGAAAACTGAAATAGAAATGGTTGATTTTAAGCAAGGCACTTTTTCTCTGTTCCTAAAACGTCTTCCTGCTGATTTGAAAAAGATGAAGAACATTTTTTTCAGCGTTCTGAAACAGCAAGTGCTGTTTCCATGTGTGTTTCCAAAGCCAGATTGTCCATCCTGTGGTGAGTCCTGGGCAGGGACACGGATCAGGTGTCCACAGAGGGTGTGGGGTGGCACCATCACAGCCCTGAGTGTCACATTCTCCAAGGGTTTCCACATTTTTGAGTAATGAAGGTGCTTTTGTGATTTTTTTTTTTTTAAATATATTTTTTTAATTTACTTGGCCAGAGCAGGAGATGAACACATTTGAGTTTAAATCTGAAAGCTCCTCATAAGGGCTGGTTTTGCTGGACCTGTAAATCAGCTTTTACAGTGAAAAGTGGAGATTTTTAAAAACTCCTTTTTGGAGTGTTTTTTTTCAGGAAGGTAATTTTAAGCAGTGATTGGCAGAAAAAACATGGAATCTGAAAAAACATTGGCAGAAAAAACATTTCCTACAGATATAGATTTGGGCTTTATTGTGTTCTCAGAGTGGTGTAACTGAGGTGTCTGACAACTTTTAATGTTGTGACATTTTTGCTTCGTATCATATTTCCAGAGGAAAAATATTTAAAGATCATCTTATCATGCAGAGTAAAAGGAGGAATCTTCCCCTGTCTGCTGGACAGGGGGTGATAACAGCAGTGCATTTATCACTTTTATTTTTCCTTAAAACAAAGCCACGTCGAATTAATCCAGTTTACAACCTGCACGTGAATTACCCCGTAAAGCTGGTTTTGAGCAGTGATTTAGGTGCTGTTGATACCTACACGTTTCTAGATTAAATATTTTTGTTTCACAGTGTTAGTTTATGATTTGAGCAAAACGTTGAGGCTGTGAGGGGGTGACGTGTGGCAGTCAGAGTGCAGTCGCTGCAGGCTGAGGGGAGAAGAGGCTCCCTTTGAAGAGCCCTTCGGAAGATCTCCAGACCTTTTGGTTTCGTGGTTCTGGAGCGAGCACGAAATGCTGACGAGGGGGAAGCAAAAGCCATAATTGTGTGGGGGGACAGTGCCAAGGCAGCTGAGCAGCCAGAGCCAGGCAGGGCCGACTCTCCGGCCCCGTTACGTGACTGCCTTAAACACTTAAAGATGAGCCCCTCTTTTTGAAGCATAAAAATATCCCCGAATCATTTGGATATCTGCTCGGGATGGGAAGTATTAAAAACCTTCAGATTGTTTTGGAAGTGTCTTGTTAAGGAGGTGGTTTTTGCCCCCTTTTTTAAACCCTTCCCTGACAGATCTTTCTCTTTGTTTCGCTTAATTTAGTCTTGAAAATGATGTGATCAAGGAATAAAATACCCCTGCAGCTCTTGCGCGTGTCGTGCCCACACAAATTTCAGTTCTTTTCTATAAATCTAAGAGTATCTTTGCTTTTCATTCAGTGAGACATTGATGTGTGTCCCTTTGGATGTCCTCACAGTCAGCTTCAGGAGTTTTTTCAGCTTCACATTGGCTTTTGTTTAAAAACTCCAAAAGCTCATCCTTTGCCCTTTTCTCTGGAAGATGTTGCACAACACTGATCCCAGTCCAGGTATTTTCCACTGAATTTCCCACTCTTGTGAAAACTCTCTCCTATCTTTTAATTCCTTTTTTTGTTCACAGGAAGGTATTTTATGAGAGCATGATTTTTTTTAAAGGGGTTTTGACGAACAACTCCTTGTAATCATTTTATCTGGTGTTCACTGAGGCAGTTTCAGGACAGAGAAAACTCCTGTTAGCTGCTATTTCCGGTGCAGCTGCTTCCATCCACATTCCCAGCCCCTGGCATTTCTTGCATCCATTGGAAATGCAGATCCCTCTAGTGTTCCCACCTGTGTGACTGATGGAAAGCAAACCCACTCTTTTGGGGGTTTTGGTCTGGTTTTCCACTCACTTGCCCTGTGTGCTTTGAATCCTCCCAGAGAAAAATCTGGTTTATTTAAGGATTAAATATCCCCTTTTCTTTAAAAGTCTCTGTGCTGCCTCTTGTTTTCCCTTCTATGATGTGACTCCTGTTGTTGCCTGCAGAAAATCATGTGTTTAAAGAACTCTGTGCCCTCTCCAGTGGAATTCCAGTGATCCTCCTTCTGTGATTCCAGGGAGCTGGTGGGATGGGAGCTCCTGCTGTGGGAGAGCTGGAGGAGCAGCAGAGTTCCCTCACAAGTTTAGGGGCAATAGACCCCTCCATTTTGGGCATCCAGAAAGGTCTCAGCCCTTTTACTTCAGCCAAGGGAAGTGGAAACCTCAAATATCTCTTCCTGCACAGCACAAAGAGTCCTGTTGGAACGAGCTGCTGCACAGGCAGGAATAAATCATGGAGCAAAACAGGAATATTTCACTGTTTTGTCCTGTTTGAATAGGACAAGTGAATAGGAGATCAGGTATAACAACCATAATCCTCACTAGTTATTGGAGCAGTCTCATGTCTATGTGAAAAAACTCCAGAGGATTGTGTTGTATTGTTATATGTGACTTGTTATATATGTTATATATTACAGTTTTATTGGGAATTGCACCACTCTGGACATCTCATAAACCAATCCCTGTGGCAGTAAGGTGGCTTTTTCCCTCAGGTGTGTTCTTCCCTGCTGACCCCTGGCTCTGTCCCTGTTCCAGGTGCTGGTGAGCGAGGACTCGGACAGCGACGGCATCGTGGCCCATTTCCCTGCCCACGAGAAGCCCATTTGCTGCATGGCCTTTAACCCCAGTGGTAAGAGATTTTCCTGCTTCCTGTGATAGCTGTAAGCAAGATGCAGGCAGTAAATACTGCTGGGATGTGTTCCAGGGCTTGGGAGGAATTGCAGGTCCCACTGTGAGCCCTGCAGGTGCCCAGCTCCGTGCCCTGCTCAGTGCTGGATGTGTCACATTTGGGGGAGTTTGTCTTTTCTGGGGATTTCAAACTTTAGCAACTGTTGTAAAAGTCAGGAGGTTCAGTCTGTCCCTTCCTGTAATTTGTCTTTTCTGGGGATTTCAAACTTTAGCAACTGTTGTACTCTGGTAAAAGTCAGGAGGTTCAGTCTGTCCCTGAGGAATTCCCATCTGTTGGAATCCTGCCAGCCAGGTACCCAGATGTTGTGGTCCACAGGTATCCAGAGGATCAGCACATGGGTTAGATTATATTCCTCCATAAATATGAAAATAAAATCATTTTGCTGGTTTTAAAAGTAACTTCCACTGCCATGATCTGGTTGTTGATTCTGCCCTCTCTCCTGGGTGAAATAACTCTAATCTCAAAATACTTGTAAGAAACTCCTCAAAATTACCTTTCTTTCCTTCCTCTTTATAAACAAACAGTGACTGTGGGCAGCAGAGAGATATACAAACCTTGTGGATTAATAGATCTTATTAACCTGACAATTAACACTTTCATTATCTGTAGACAAATAATTTGTAGACAATAAATTTGGCTGATGTCAGGGAGATAGTCAGGGAATCAACAGCTTCCACTTGCCTAAATTAACAATTTCTATAATGCAGCAAATGCCATGAAGATCACGAGGGTGAAGTCACATTTCAGAGAATAAAACAACATGTCTGTCATTTATGTTTTCACTTTTACTGACCAGTTGGTGTTATTCTGACACCCCATCTGTTGTGTCAGAACTCTTTAATAGAGCTGTGCAGTTCACAGGGTTTTCACTGGGAGTTTGTGACAGAAAAAGCTGTATTCTCATCTGGCTGGGTTTTCTTTTAGGAGGATTTTTTTGTGGAATTCTGTGCATTGAAGTGAGAATCAGCTACTCCAGATCAGTCATTTTGCTCTGTGCCCTGGAAGCAGGATGATACCTAGAGTTGAGCAGTGCTAATTAGGTGAAAATAAATACAGCTGCCTAAATTAGGATGGTTTATGGATATTATTTAAATGCCTCCTTAAGACAGTTTTTAGGATTTATAAATTTAAGGGCAGCAGAATGTTTATAGAAAACCAAATTAACTTATTTTTAAAATGGAAGGGTATTTTTGCAGATGACTGGAATATTTTTATTAGGATCAAATTCTTTGTTTTGCTCAGGTACTGCAATGACAGTAATTTGTGTGTGATGGAGCAGGGTGAGACCTTTTTTAATTGGTGTTGGTTTTGGCTGCCAGCTCGGGGGTGTTTGCAGGAGGGAGGGGGATCATCCCTCTTGTCCTGGGCACTGCAAGAGCAAACCAGGAGAAAACTCTTCTCCACTGAGAGCAGCACTTAGCCCAGGGTTCTGTGCTCTTTATTTAACATCAAGGCAGGGTTTTGTTTGAAGCCAGGGCTGTAACATCATCTCAATCCATTCTATAGTGGTATATTGGCAATCAAGCCGAGCTCATTACAGACAACAAAACAAGAGGTGGCTTTTGATACTGTCCTTGGCTGCTTGCAGGGAAAAACCACTTCTGCCCCTCATTTCAAGCCCAGCAACTGCAAACTTGTGCTGTAAAGGCAAACAGGGAACTCTGCTCTGTTTCACTGCACTGTTTTATTCTCTGATAAATTTAATTTCATCACATCTCAGCCCACGGGCCCGTGAGCTGCCCAGGGGTTCAGCTCTGTGAAAACTGGCACGTTTGTGTTTAAAAAAATCCCAAATAAAGCCACCAGTGACACTGGAAGGCACTGAAGGTCAGTGGAGATGGAAGATAGGTATGATTTTTGTGTACTGAACTAGTGCCACAGCCCCTTCAAGCTCTATTTTAAAGGAATCAGTTGCCAGTAAGTTCCTTTTATTTTTTGTTTCTGCTCTGTATTTTTTCATGCTGAACAAGGAGCTTGCTGGGGACAAGTTAATTGTGATAAAATAAGAGTGCAGAAGGGGTGGGTACTGTGAGAACAGCTCCTTGGGAACATATTGCTGCACTGCTGGATCTCCAGAAACAATCCAATGGGAGGAAGGAGGCTCCCTGGAGTCAGTAAATGACAGTCAGATTTTTTTCCCCCCCCCAAATACATCTTTTTTGAGGTATTCAAAGGAATTTATGTGCAGTCAGCTTTTTTTGGTATTAGATTCATAGCTGCTCTGAAAATCTGGGTGAATAAAAAAATAACAAACCTGAAATATCCCTTCTGAACATACTTAGGGGGCACCATAAGTTGTTTTTTCCCTGCTGCCCTGGATCTCTCTCTTCCAGACCCTTCTGGTCATAACAGCTTCTGAGGCAGCTGATTTTTAGGGAGACTGTAAAAGTCTCAGGCTAAAACATGCAGCAAATCATGTTTATCATTAAAGGGAAAAAAGGAAAAAAAGCCATAAAGCAGAAAATTTCAGTCCCTGGCAGTTCAGGTTTTCTCTGGGTTTTTTCCTGTGCACAGCAAATTTTAATTTTTAAGAAAAGTTGATGGTTTACTCTTGGGAATGGGTTGCTGGGGATTTTTTGGGGGGTGGAGGGGAGAGAAGGGTTTCTACCACAGGTGAAAATGTGCAGCCAGACATCTCATGCCCAAAATTCCCCATTCCTACAGAATTCCTAAAAACCAGGTCCCTTCCTACCTTGTTATGGGCTCTGTGCTGGACATTTTTCATTTTAATGGGTAAGACATGGAGTGGGGCAATAAAGGGGAGCCAGGACTGCTCCTCCCTGGCTGTTTGCTGCTGCTGGAGGCTTTGGGAAGCAGACATAGAATGCTGAGGGGGTCCTTATCCCAGTGGGAAGAACAGGAAGGATGATGTGAAGCCCCTGAGCCCCTCCCAGTGCCGTGGTGGGGGGACACTGGTTCTGCTGGTGACTGGGACATCCTTGCTCTGCTCTGGGAAATGGGCTTGAGAAATCCAGCCCAGGTTCCCAGTTCAGCCAACCTGGCACTTCTGGTTGTTCTCTTTTTTTAATATTCAGAATATGAGTGTTTCCTGTAGCATTTCCTTCTGTGGTGTCACAGTTTTTCTCTACATTTTTAAGTCAAAATGGAGATTATTTATACAATATGCCAAAAGTGGTGGCTTTTGTGACTTACAGGAGGATAAAGTCCCTCTTCTGGAGTACTCCTCTTTTGATTTCTCTTAGACATCCATCCAATATTGAATAAATAACGTTCTAATAATGATTTATTAGATTTATTATGGCACTTCCAAGTGCCAGGCAAGAGATGCTGTGGATTGTCAGGAAACAGGGATCTGTGAGTTTTTTGGGAGCTGTGGGTGATCAGTCATAGGCTCTTGAGTGGCTCTTGGTTACAGCACAGTTTCCTAGTGGATTGGGGAATAATAATGATGATAATCATAACAATAATGTTATTATTATTATTATTATTAATTCTTCAACTTGCTGCATTGAAGTCCCACAGGATGGTCTGTGGGAGCAGCTGCTGCAACAGAGTCACAGCCCCAAGTCCCCCCCTTGGTTCTGAACAGAGACTTTAAGCCTTTTCTGAAAAGTTTTTAAGATGAGAATAAATAATACAAGGAAGTGGAGTAATATTAATAATCTGGAGGCTTTATTAATGTCCCTCTGGCAGGGATGTTGGTGCAGTGGAAGCAAGAGGCTTGTACTGACCAAGAGGCTCTAGGAACAGTTACTTTAATTCACTTATTAAATGAAAATCACATTAAGCTTTTGTGTGTGGATGCTTTTACTCAACCTTAACATTGGCTTGATTTATTGTAGCTTGAATATTCAGTTTTGGCTGAATTGGAGGCCAGCTTACTGTGGGCAGAGTGTCCAGGCAAAAAAACGTCGTGCTGGTTACTAATTCCCAGCAGGTAATTTAAATTAATTAGTCAGGCTGCAGAAGTGTGGATCTGCTCCCAACCTGTGCATCATATTTTCCTTGGAAGTGTCCAAGGCCAGGTTGGACAGGACTTGGAGCAACCTGGGCTGGTGGAAGGTGTCCCTGCCCATGGCAGGGGGTGGGACTGGATGAGCTTTAAGGTCCCTTCCAGCCCAACCCATTCCACGATTCCATGTACAACCAGTAACAGTTTTCTAACCAGTAAAACCTCTCTGTTACATGAGGTAAAGCAGCAGCATTGACACCAAGGTCTCTTATTTATTATGGTTGAATTTTTGCCATTATTAAAATGCAGCCAGGAGGGAAAAAAAAAATAATTAGGTAAATATTTTCCTGGTTATTAAGATGTTTTTCTGTCAGTGCAAGATTGTGTGAGAATTTATCATTAGGAGGCTTTGAACTTTTATGGGTCTGTAATATTTATATATATTTTTATATATTTAGATTTTATACTCGTTTATCTAATTAAGAAACCAGTTGGAGAATGACGTGGTCATTAGAGCCTCTCTGCTACTTAATGTAAAGCTCATTATTTAAACTCTGGGTGGAGGTGACCTGGACTAGGTTTTGGAAGTCCACAAAAGGCAGGAAGCCCCAGAGGGGGGTCACTGAAATGAAGATGTTTACAGCAAAGCCTCCAAGCTTTTAACGTGTTGGGGAGAGGCTGCCAGGAATTGTGAGTGTGTGCAGGGCTGGGAACGGGAGAGGGAAGGGAAGGATTAAATGTTACAGTTGGAAAGGGTTCTCAGTGATAAACTGGATTAGTCTGAACTGGAGAGTGTCTAGACTGGAGACTGAGGGAACCCAGCAAATATCCTCATTTTTCATTAAGTTGTATTAGACACTGATTTCCAAAGGAGGAAAAAAACCTCACCAGTTGTGGTGTCCATGAAAGTTAATTCCCTTTGTTCCTGTCCCATCCCACCCGGAGCAGGGGCTGCCAGGGAAATTCCCTGCATGGCTTCACTCACATGCTTTGGGTTATTGCTGCTCCTTTGCTTTTTGGTCCAAAG